TTCCCGAACTTAAACGATAAATCTGGCCCTTAGTATTAACTCAGCTGCAGGAAATACCCCCTTCTAGATAAAAAGCAGTGCTCTCCGTCTTTGTTGTGAGCAGCTAGCAACTTGCAAATGATGGTTGATCCTAGCTTATTTAACAAGTATGAAAAGTCAAATTTTTTGTATACTTGCCATGAAATATTGCAGAGTTTTTTTTTCGGTAAAGATTAGTCCTTGCTTTTCTTTGCGAACCTACAGAAGACCAAAATAGCCGTACAGGAGATCAATGTGAATGAATTCAATTCACTTTAGGGTGCTGCTGAGGATGCGAAAATGACCCGCGCCCCACAACGAAGTAATTCGCTCATAATGTCTGCATCACAGAATTGTTTACACCAAGTGAACAAAAATGAAGAGGCGTAAGTCTGAAGCAGAATGTTGAATTTCTAATTGTTCCGCAGCTAAATATTCTTCCAGAAGAGGAAGAATCTTTTCAGTTGGAATATCAACACAGACAAAATCATCAAAAAACTTGGATTATGTGGTTGGTAGGAAAGTTTTGTAATTTTTTTCGATTCAACTAAAACAACGACTTCAGCGCCTTAGCTCTAATGAAGGGATCACACTATACTGCAAAGCAGACACTTCTGTTCCATTCAACTTTCATTTCCACTTTGGTGAGGAATGTCATCCGAACGTACGCGTTCGTGTACGTCCCGAGTATACAGAGGACAGATACGCGAACAAACCTGTTGAACGTTGTCCAAATCACTTGGTCAAAGACAGTGAGTCCTTGAAAATAGCTCAACCTTGGAAGTCCAATATTTAAGTTGCAGATACGGAAACTCGCAATCATTTCCTACGATGTGAGCATCCGCAAGCTGAGTATCTGAGTGTTGAGGATGCATATGCCGTGCGTATTCCTATGTGTGAATCAACTGGATTCATGTTCACTTGCTTTAGTTCCTGTTCTGGAGGAATCAATCGTCGACCTGTTCAGCTTGCCTTTATTTTGGAGGAGCGGTACATTCTTTTTTGGTACTTTGAAGAAAAATAATCAGTGATTGTGTAAATCATGTTTTTAGTAATGGAAGAGTAGTTGACACCTGTTACATTGCTCTGAAAGTG